TCAAGTGATCCGCCTGCCTTGGCCTCCCAAAGTGCTGGGATTACAGGCATGAGCCACTGCGCCCGGCCTATTTATTTCTATTCACACTGCACATCCCTTGTCCAACTACGAAATCCTTCCCTGGAGTGATTACTTGAGTGGACGAGTATATAAAATGAACACACACAAAACATAAAACCTGTGGATGGCCTACATGACTGTTTACTGATAGGGGTCCAGGTCAATCAATGACAGACTAGGGTGTCGACACGCAGACACAACCAAGACCTGTGAAGTCAAAGGCCAGGGAAGAACACACACAGACTGGTCCCTCGGTGGTGCCCGGTGTGGCTGACACACACGTCACTGACACAGCCGAGCACTGGGGGGCAGGCCACACCCAGGAAACCGGGGGCTTCTACTTTGTGTAAAAACAACCAACCAACCAACCAACCAACCAACCAACGAACAAAAGCTGAATAGCTTGGCTTTTCTCTTACCGCAAGCATGTATTTCTTTTATTCAAACACCCTTTAATATATGACGTTAAATATATAAGGAACATGAAGGAGACAATCACCCTTGCTTTATGCAAATAGAACCTCTTTTCTGCTGTGGTGGGTGGTGAGTCTCAAACTCCACGGAACACAGGAATCACCTGGGGGTTGGTTACAACAGGTCTGGGGGCCTGGGAACCTGCATTTCTCACGCGTTCCTAGGGATGCTGCTGCTGCTGCTGCTGGTCCTCAAACCCCATCTGGAGTAGCCTAATTTCAGATTGATGTCTATAAGGTAGTGCAGCCAAATACAGTAAATGCAAATGAGGATGATTACAAAAGAGAGAGGACGGTTCTCCAGGGACCCGGGACCTGCCAGCAGGCCCAGCTCCCAGACAGGGCCAGCCTGTTGCATGCAGAAACTGTGGACCTGCTCACGAGAAACAGAGATGGAGGTGGCGATGGTTATGCCTGTGTGTGAACACTGAGGTCAGGAGCCAAGGCCGCCCCACAGTGTGGGGTTTGCCTGTTTGCCGGGTGCAGTCCGAGGCCTGTGGGCCCTGAGGCCACCTCACAGCAGAGCCAGGAAGTGAGCACGGGTCGGGGTTGCGTGGGGTGCACCTGGCACCTGGCTCGGCTGGGCCTGGGCTCTTCTCCCGGTCTGCTGGCTGGGAGGTAAGCTGGCACATCTGAGGCGGATGTAATGATTGCCATTTTATGAATGAAGAACCTGGGGCCCAGAGAGGCTGAGTAACCTCACGAGGGACACACAGCTTGGATGGAAACACGGCTCTGCTTAGCTACAGAAGCTGTGCTCTTGTCCACTCAGCCACACTGCCACCCTCAGTAGCCAGGGAATGTGGTGGACGAGGTGGCAGCCCCGGGAGCCTGGCTTGTTTTGGGGCCTCTGTCCCAGTCCCTGCCCAGCCTCCACTGGAGCCTCCCAGCTGGTGCAGCCTTCTTCCACCTCTGCCACCTGGGAAAACTGAGCACAAAGGCAGAGGTGACTAGCTCGGTCCGGCAGGGACCCACTCCCACAGGCATGGTTCCCTGAGGGCTGGGAGCGCCCAGAGCACAGGCGGTAATATCCAGCCCAGTGGAATGACGGCTCTGACACTGAGCTGCTGCTGAGATAACAGTCCTCCCCCAGGTCCCTGGGGCCGCATCCTCACTGCCTACACGTGGCCCATCCCGAGTGTCCGGCACTGCCTGAGCCTGACTTAAGGGAGTAGTATAGGAGTGACATTTGGGCAGTCTTAGGCCATCTCCCATCACCCCAACACAAACATCCAGCCCCCCACATGCTTGTCACTTGCCCTCTTCTTACCACCCTGGTCCAGGCCCCCATTGTTTCCCTTCCTCCCCAGCTTCCTGCCTGCAGGGCTCCCTCTCCAAGTCATTCCCCATGGTACAGCCAGAGAGAGGGTCCCTAAAGGTCAGAGGTGACCGTGTCCCTCGAGGCTCACAGGCCCTGGTTCCTGTGGACTTTGGCGGAAAGTCCAACCACTGAGCAGGGCTTACAAGCCTGGCGGAATTGGACCCCACCTGCCTCTCCGGCCTCCTCCTTCACTGATGAGGCCCCAGGGAAGGAGGAGGCACAATCTCCATTTTCCAGCCCAAGAGCTTCAGACCCAGGGTTCCACAGCCAGAAAGCAGCAAAGCCGGGCTTTGAACTCTACCTCCACCAGCCCACATCACCCCAGGGGCAACAGGATTCCTTCCTCCCTCAAGCAACCCCCAGCAAGCGGGGATTGGGCCAAGGCCTGCGGGAGGATTTGGCAGTGGAGGGAGGGAGCTGGCAAACACTGAGGCCTCAGAACTCATCAAATCCCCTCTGGAGCAAATCCAAAAGGACTGAGACACTGCAAGAAGGACCAGCGCCAAGTGTGGCAGCAGCTGGTAGAGAAGCCCCCCAGCCCCATCCTGGCCTCTGTAGGGTGGGCCCCGGGACCACATGCTCTCGGTGTCCAAAAGCCTTTCGACTGGGCTCACAGTTGCCCTGGTGTCCCATGTGCCAGCAGGGAAGGCAGGGGCACCTTCATTTTTGCAGATAGGGATGTGGAGTGATGTGCCCGTGGTCTGGCCTGGAATCCACTCTCTCTGCCACACAAATTGCCATTTTACTGACACATAGATCAGGACTTGCTACTCTGAAGAGGGAAGTGGCAGTGGGGCCAGGAGCCGAGTGGAGGACAGAACAAGGGCCCGGCTGCTACTCTGCCTCCCCTCCTGCCCCGAGAGTTTCGAGTCAGAGGTAATTGACTGCGATGAAATAAACCTCTCCCCTCCCGAGTGCTGTAATTATTCTTCGCTGGAACCGGCTGCCATGAGGCTACAGAGGCAGGCCCACGTGGCAGGAGCCAGAGGTCTCACTGCAGGAGTGGGTCCCCGTGCTGTGAAGCCTCACCCAGAACCAGCACCAGAAAAGTCAGGAATATAGAGCCAGCCCCTAAATATACAAAACAGGGGTGATCACATGAGTAGGGAGTAGGGTTGGCAGGGATTGGGGGCTTGGACTCCGGTCAGTACGAAGATTTCAAAACCGCTCTGCACCCCCTCAATACCATGGCAAAAAGGGAGGAACCGCACTCCTCTCAGCTTCCATACTCCATCCAGGGCTTAGACGAACACAACTGCAATGGCTCAGAGGGGACATTAAATGGTCCACCCCATAATTTTGTCGATGGGAGACTGAGGTCTAGAGAGGAAAGTGACTTGCCCAAGGTCACCCAGAAAGGTGGACAGAACTCAGCAGATGAGTCCCGACTTCTCCACCTGTGCCTACCTTTCCCCAGGCGCCCTTGTTCATGTTTGCTGATAGTACCGGCATGACAGATGTGTGTTGGGGACTCCAGCCTCAAGGGTAGGAAGAACTCTGTGGGGCTCCTTTACCTACTTGCTGGAGAGGGGAGGCTGGAGAAGCTGCAACACCTCTGTGTACCAGGATTCTGAGTGGTGTTGGCAGGTCCTGAGAGTCCAGCAGTGCACCCTGGAGCTCCCACTCCCTCCCCATGCAACTGGGGCACTGAGGCTGGGAGCCTGCGGATCCTTCCCAGACCCCCAAATCCTTCCGGAGCCATTTCCAAGCTTTCTGAGTAAGTCCAGACAAGCCAGCCCCGTTGGAAACTCAGCTGATAGGGAACCCAAAACCCAGCTGGATCCAGGGTACACAGACTGCCCTGTCGGTCTTTTTCATCGTGTCGTGCAGATGCTCAACAAACTGCCAGCAAGTGCAAGACCAAATGAACAAAACCCCACATTTCCTGGGCCCCCAAGCCTTAGGGTGAGATTTCTTCACAAGCCGCCAGCACCTAAGCTGTTTAGGAAGCTTGCAGTCAGTGCACCAAGAGTTAAAACCAACCCTTGCCCAGCCCAGGAAGTGCTGGTTCTCACCTTTTCAGATGGGTAGAGCCCTGGTCACCTCCACTCCACTCTATTCTATAAGAGGGAGAAGGTGGGAAGATGGGCAAAGGTGCTTTCCCAGCAACCCTGAACTTTTTGGGGGTTGGCAATTACTGCTCTCCCCAGAAGCCCTGAAGAGCCTGGGCTGGCAGGGGCTGAGGGAAATGCAGGGGAGAAGGCTGGCAGGGTGGCTCCCTGGCACTCCTGAGCTCCTACTTCCTGGGGAAGGTGCCAGGATGAATGCTGAGGCTCAGGCCTCAAGGATACTCCCTTTACCCTGCAGGAGGTTTCATGAACTTGACCCTTGAGTTTCTTGTGTCAGAGCCACCGGGGCTGCTACAGGACACACACATTAGCAGGACCACTTGTGCCCAGGCAGTCCCTGGCCGTGGGAGGACAGGACATGAGCGGGGTAAGACAGTGGAGTCCGGAGGACCCATGTCGAATATCTCTTGGGTTTTTGATGTGTACATTCTTTTCCTTTCTGGCCGAGGAAACCCAGTGTCAATCAGGCACCCCCCCACCTGTCACTGAAGCAGAGATTCCTAACAGACAAAGGTGTGAGGTGGTGGTGAGAGAGGCTGGCATGTTTGAGGCCAGCTCCACTACTTCCCCACTCTGTGACCTTGGGTAAGAGACCAAACTTCTCTAAGAATCAGTTTCTGCATCTGTGAAGTGGGGCCAAGGCCCCTTTCTCGTGGGTGTTGGGTGAATGGGATGGGATGAAAATGCAGCACCAGCTCTGGCAGAAGGCAAAGCTTAACAAATAAGTCTTTGCTCTTGGCAGGAAAAGAAGGGGGCCAGGTTTCCAGTGGGCTCTTCTGGGAAACTTTCCCTCCCCACTGCCCCCTCGCCCCCAGGCCACTGTTCCGAGGGAAATGAAGCCTCCCTTCCTAAAGTGGGTCCCCCGCCTCTCCCTAGGCCCTCGTGCCCACCTGGGTCTCAGTCTCCTCCTCAGGGAGGAGGGTGGAAACCAGGGGATGGGTGACGCCAGCTGGGTCAGGGGACCTGGTGCGAGGCAGCCGGGGCAGGCTGCAGTTGGCACTCTGGATGAGTGGGCACCCCGCTGGAGCTTTCCAGCCTGCATCTTCTGCCCCACACCCCGTGACCCGCGGCCCTTACCTTGAAGCAAGGGAACGGCGCTGCCCCGGCCGCGAGGACTTGGGCGCACGTGACGGGGCGGGC